CAATAACTGATTTTTTAAAAAAGTTCCTCAAGTGATAGGAATAATATTATTACAGCCATAGGAACCGCTAAACAGAGACCCATTCTTTTTTTTAATTCTTTGACTTGGAATAGTGCAAGCCTGCTCAAAAATAACTAAATACTCAGATTGGCACATCAGATTAAGACATGCTATTAACATCCAATGAAAATGGCCGGATAGAAAAGATTTTAAGTACAAATTGTTCTGAAAGAGCATATAGTCAAGGCCTTTTTGCCTTGCAAAGTAATTTCTAATCCTCTGTTTTCTACCTGGATTTGGAGGCCAAAGAATCCAGCTTCGCAAAGGCTGAGAAATGTCCTTCCCAGAAAATTGCCTCCATTTTGTTGTCTCCCATTCAGCCAACGGCTCAGACTACTACCAGCTTTCTTGCAATCTGAGGAAGGGAAGGACCCGGCTTGCCTGCCTCTGGATATTCATGGCCCCCCCACCCAAATCCCTGGTCTGTCCTCTCCCAGCACTTCATGAAGTTGTTGAGGTGGGCACAATTAGTCATTCTGGGGACACCGTAAGCCCTTTGCTAAAATGCTAGAAAGAATCTCCCAGCCCCCCAATTTTCTTCTGCAAACACAGGAAGGATTGGAGACATTGATAGGTGGAGTTTCTGAAGCCCATCTGCCAGTTGGTCCTTTCAAAACACTGAGAGTCTTTTGAAGGTGGGCGCATGGATCACTTGATGGATCTATCCAGAAGGAAATTGGGGGTGCTATCACTGAATGGCACTGAAAGGCCTGCAGAAGCAATCAATTTGATCAAGCCGGCCAGAAATATTTCTTCAGTCAAAAGCTTTTGGCTCTTTCCATTTTCTCACCTAAACCTTGAAATCCCACAAGCGTTGCCATTTAAGTTAGTGCATATTTTGCTTTGGGAATTTGTGAAGAATAGGACAAATCTTGCAAATCCTCCTGGCCTGGCCTATTCTGTTCTGCTCTGTTCTTTACTTTTTTTCCTTGTTCAGGAGGGTCTTGTGTCCTTCGAGGAGGTGGCTGTGTATTTCTCCGAGGAGGAGCGGTGTCAGCTGGATCCTCACCAGAAAGCTCTGCATTGGGAAGTCATGCTGGAAAATTACAGGAACGTGGCCTCTCTGGGTAAGGGTTTGCTTCTCTCCCATCAGAGAGTTTGGAAAGACATTTTGTAGTTAGATGCCATCAGCTCATCTATTTGAGGGAGGGAAGGAAAAGATCTGGCCTTCTCCTGCTCGAAGGAAGGAAGGACATCAGTGGCTCTCTGCTTAGATGCATCCCCTGCCATTTCTCATCTG